CAAAACTTAGCACAATATATGAGTACCTATTACACAGGCAGTGCTGTAAAAAAAACAAAAAACAAAAAAGCAAAAAAAAAAACCCTACTGTTTCTTCAAACTCTCTCAACTTTTGGGTTTCTTTGCGCATCTGAAAAGGCCAAAAAGATCAATCATTTTTTTAAAATCAGAATATTAAAACCCAAAACTTAGCACAATATATGAGTACCTATTACACAGGCAGTGCTGTAAAAAAAACAAAAAACAAAAAAGCAAAAAAAAAAACCCTACTGTTTCTCCCATCCCTAGTTCTCCAAATTCTCAGCTCATTTTATATAATAATTTTATCTAACATTACCTTGGCAGATTTTTCTGCTTCTGTGAGGGGTCGGATTTTATATGAAGGAGTAATGTCTTTAAATAATTCCATCAGAGAAACTATCACCAGCTTTCGAACAGTAACAGCTACATCAGGATCCTGTTCCATCAGCATGGAACGTAATTCTTTCAATTTTTTAATCTATTAAAGAAATAACTTATGAGGCTAGAGAAGTCACGGCAAAACAATTATGAACAAAAGACAATAGCCCTATATCTGGCACAAGTCGAATTCACACAATGACTGAGAGTTTAGTCAAGCCATACGGAACTCCAGATACTGCTCACATTACCCACAGATAAATCACTGAAGTTAATAAGGTAATCATATTTTTGTTATATAGTTAGAAAAATATAGACTTTTAAAAAAGTTTAAATTTGTTAATTTACCTATTTTTAGAAATTCTCTTACTCAGTTTTTCTAAAGTATGCGTGTCCTATTTTTCTAAAATAATTTTTTGACACATAGTAAAATGTTGCATACATCAAATATATTATTCACATACACATGAGTTGATTGGGAATTAAATATAATATAGCCACATTAACTTTCGCTTCAACAAGATTCATACAGAGATAATATTTGCCTATGATGATATAATGCAGAAGTAAAAAATTGGTTTCCACTAATGTGACTGCTCTGATGAACTACTATTGCCTGATGGAGTAATATCTTAAGAAGGTAGATTCTGGTAGGTCAGCAATGTTTACCATTGCTAGGAGGACAAATATGCCACCACCTACTTGCTATCCCTAAATTGTGTGAATGAGCATAAGCCTCCAGAGTAGAAGACCTGGGTCCTAATCCAGTGGCTGTTAAAATCTGGAACAAATCATTAGGTTTTTAAGGCTCAATTTTTTAGCTATAGATAGACATCAACAGCTCTTATCTCTATGGTTTTATAATGATTAAATGAGATAATACAAGAATTCCAAATCCCCCCTCTTTATTCTGCACTAGATTTTCCCCTCACTTTATTAGAAAATGACAAGTATCACACCAAAGCATACCCACATGAAATTTTTTCTATAAATGTAAATAATCTATTTTATCATTCAGTACACAAATACTTGTCATACTAAGATGCTGGGCAACTTACATAATAAGAATAATAGTACCACTTTATGTAACTTCATATATTTTTATCCTTTAATCCCCGCAACAAAGTTTTGAAATAGACACCATCCCGTTTTTCGAGATGAAGAAAGTGAGTCTTGGGTAACATCACTTACCCAAAGTCTCACAGATACTATTATACTTAGCAGGGCCAGAACTGAACCTCAAGTGTTATAACTATCACTACTTCCACTTACTATACACATGGCCCAATAATTAATAATTCTGGCTCTATTTCACTCAAGATATTTTCCACTTACAAATACTCCTAAACTAATTTCACTGACTTCTATGTAACACGTTCCTCATTAAAAGCTCTATAAAGCACCAGTAATCCCACTTCGCACTTTGCAAAGCCGAGGCAGGAGGATTGCTTGAGGTCAGGAGTTTAAGACCAGCCTGGGCAACATCACGAGACTTCATCTCTACAAAAAATAGAAAAATCAGCGAGGCATGGTGGCATGTGCCTGTAGTCTCAGCTACTTAGGAGGCTGAGGCAAGA